ATCATGACCAGCAGCTTTACAGCTGTGGCTCCAGCAAACATCAGCTGATACTAGAAAATAATATTAAATAAAACAACAGCTGAATGAGAATGAGAGGAGAAGAGGCAGCTGACAGTGTAAAGACACAGAATAACTCCAGCTTTGTCTTTTCCATTCTAGCTGAAGTTCGGGACAAACTGCGTTCCTTTGCGGCTCAATACGAAACACCTAATATTTTCTCTCAGTGCGGGACGATGGCGTTTGTACGGGACGGTTGGCAACTCTACTAACTAACCTTATGAACAAAATAAAGTTCACTATCAGTAACATCATAGCACCACCCAGCTGTATAGAAACTCCGTCATGCTAGCTAGTACGCATAGTTATTGTAACTGACTGTAAAAAGTCAGCACAACGAAAATAAACTCCACCTAAACTTGGTTTGTATCTGACCCAGAGAGACTGCAGGTCATAACTTCTTGCCTGAAGTTCAGTTCACCTGACACTCGGACCAGCGGCCGCCTCGGGTCTCTCCTCCTCCTGCCTCCCCTTTCCCTCATCCACCTGCTGGCCTCCACCACTTGCTAATGTTACTGAATCTGAGGAAGCTCCCCCATAGTCACCACCAAACAACTGAGTTATTTTTACAATACAACACCTTTCATTGTTTATACCGTTACAAAGGGGGAAACAAAGTCACCGGGCCACCAAGCAAATGCCCGGTATGCCCGATGGCCAGTCCAGCTATGGTCGTGCCATCAGTTAACCCTTTGCGTGCCAACTGTGGCACCAAGAGAAGATAACACCATTATCTTCTCTTGTTCTTAACCTTTACATAATTCAACATTTGAATGTTCAGATAGGCTTGTGGGGCTGCTTACTGGGGGTTGGTCTAATTTTTCCTTTAAAAATCTTCCTCCTGACTGTTCATTGCACTGGCACCTACAACCAGAACACACTGGGAGAACAACGGAGGACGGCAACAGTGTCCATCTGACATCATTCACTACAGGTAAGAGTCACTTTAAAAATGATAATGGAAATCTATTAAACGCCATGGTTAGTTTTGTTCTGGTTCAACCCGTTCTCACTCCCAAAGCGTAACATTTTACGCTAGGTGACAAATCGTCAACATATTACGTTTACGGCTACCCACCACGTTCCTAAATGACGACCTCGGAAAAAGAGGAAATATGAGAACCGTCTGGACTGAACCTACACATGTTCGCTCTTTTTCTTCAAATCGCTTAGAAACACGCTATTTAACATCATTAAAGCCCTGGTTAAGGTCAGGAATAAGGTTATGGTCAGGGCTAGGGATAAGGTTAGGTTTAGGGCTGGAATACAGGGCTGGAACGTCTATTACCGCGGGAGCGTCATTGCACTGGATTCCAGCCATAACCCGCCGCGTACCATAAGAACGCCGAAGGTCTCCTTTCGCGTTCCTCAGGAACGCCGCGGGACGTGACAAAACGTCGACATGTTACGCCTCGGGAGTGAGAACGCTCTGTCTGGTTCTAAGGCCACTGGCTTCTAGCAGATCACTGCAACATTGTCTACAGTATCTCTATTACACATTGTGATTGTGTGTGTGTATTTTATTAGAATAAATGCATTAAAGTCACACTTAAAGTAGTTTGTAGTTTTCTCAATCAGTAGATGTTTGCTTGTTTTTTTTTTATCTCCACAGTTTGAGTTAGAGGAGAAGTACAGACGAGGTCAGGAGTTTCACTTTGTGGAGGCAGAGAATCAGAATCAGAAAGACTTTATTTATCCCCAATTAAGATACAGCAGAGCAGCATGACGTTGAAGATAAGGACAGGGCATAAACAGGCAGTAAGGATGAGATAATAAATACACAGAATATACACAGCTTTAAAATTAAAAGCACAAGAGAAAGAGAAAGCAGATAATGGGGTGCTGAGAAGTCAGAAGTGGCAAAAGAAAGTATGTGAGGCTGGTATAGGACATGTCTGAGGACAGAGGTAAGCTGTGTGGTGGGAGTGACAGATGGGTTCAAGGTGGGGGTGGGATTACATCAGGGATCAGTCTGAGCCCCTTCTTGTTTTGGAGCAGATGAGGTCACTACTCTATAGTGAGAGTAGGGAGCAGGTGAAGGTACGCTGTGGAGAGAAGAGCAATGAAAGTCAGTAGAAGCAAGACAGAATAGATGTGTGTGAATGAATGGTTTGTCACAGAGAGACAGACAACCATCCACACTCACATTCACACTTATGGGCAATTTAGAATCACCAATTAACCTATCCCCAAAAACTGCATGTCTTTGGACTGTGGGAGGAAGCCGGAGTAACTGAAGAGAACCCGCACAAACACAGGGAGATGGTGCTAACCACTCTGTACTCTTGATGCACCCTTGATACTCTTCTCAATTGCCCCTTGGGGATGAATAAAGTCTTCTGAATCTGTACTGTGCTGTTAACTACACCATGCTATTGACATTTGGTTTGGTTTTGCTCCAAACTGACAGTTAGTTTACTTTTGCTTTGTATATTTTGTTTCTGAGTGATCAGACATCTCTGTCTACTAGTAGAATTTGTATCTGTTGTGGTGGAGAAAGATCTGTAAGTGATGCTGGAGGCTCTGTTCAGTACGAGGTGCTGGTGCAGTGGATGTAGTTACAAGGAGGAGACATTTTTTATAGGCGGCAGGCTGATGATGGTCACACCCTGTGAATGGCTCCATGCCCTTATATGAACATGTCTTTACCACCAAATGTAGAAGATTTGACCTGTATGCATTTTTGGTGAGTGATACTGGTTTGAAGTAAATATTACCAGGGTAAAATTCCCAGCTTGGCACTGGTGGATTTTCTCTCTTAACATTAAAGCTTTCAAATTCTCCACCACCATGCATAATATTTTCACGACAAAATAAAGAGCACTTCCTCCCCCTACACTAGCCAGCCCTCTATAATAATGTCTCCTTGTAACCACACCCACCTCAGCAGCACCTCATACTGAAAAGGAAACAGAGCCTCCAGCATCAGTCAGACTTTTACCAACTCAGCAGGTAACACAAATTCTACTTGGCTGAATGTAGATTACAATTTAGAATGAATCTGGTCGAGAGATATTTTCTCCTCACAATCAAAAAATAAGAAAAATGATGGAAAATAATCATGATTTGGATTTTTAAGCAAACTTGAAAAATTAAATAAAGATCTCCATTGAAAAAAGTAACTGTAACAATGTCTTTTTAATAAGACTGGGCCAATTTTTCATTCAAGGGCTAAAGTGTCCTTTAGTCGACTCAGTAACTACAAGGTGTCCAGATCATCAGCCCTCCACCACACTGCTGACACTTGATATGTTCACATTGGTTTTCTCCAGACATCTCCTCTTTGGTCCTGTCTGTCCAGAGGACATTGTTCCAAAAGTCTTGTGATTTGTTCAGATGCAACTTTGCATACCTAATCTGTTCTTTTAAGAGAGAAGGTGTGTTCTGCTGCAACATTTTCAAACAAGCTTCAGTCTTTTTCTAATTGTAACGTCATGGACTTTAACAGTTCACATGCTAACAGAGTCTTGTCTGAAAGAAAAAGTTCTCACTGATGGAAGGAGGTTTTGGCTCAAAATCTCACGATACATGGCCCCATTCATTCTGTCCTTAACACGGATCAGTCGTCCTGTCCCCTTGGCAGAAAAACAGCCCCATAGCATGATGTTTCCACCCCCATGCTTCACAGTAGGTATGGTGTTCTTGGGATGCAACTCAGTATTCTTCTTCCTCCAAACACGACGAGTTGAGTTTATACCAAAAAGTTCTACTTTGGTTTCATCTGACCACATGACATTCTCCCAATCCTCTGCTGTATCATCCATGTGCTCTCTGGCAAACTTCAGACGGGCCTGGACATGCACTGGCTTCAGCAGCGGAACACGTCTGGCACTGCGGGATTTGATTCCCTGCCGTTGTAGTGTGTTACTGATGGTGACCTTTGTTACTTTGGTCCCAGTCCTCACACTGACTCGTGTGAGTCAGTGTGAGGACTGAACGTCAATGCTGAGAGAAATATGAGAGAAATAACCTTTTTATTTCTGTTGGTTTCAGGTCTCTTCTTCCTTTTGGGCAGCAGCTGTGAAGGTTTGTACTTGACTCTCGTCACACGTGTTGTTTCATGAGTTTTTGGTGCACCTTCAGTCGGACTTTGAAGACTTGCTCCTCTCTAACATTGAGCTTATTCAGTTATAAGTTGGTGCTAAATGCTGAAAAAAAATCCCTGAAAGAGCAGATCTGATAATCTGGGAGAATTAGAGATACTGTGATATATTCAGTCTTCTTATTGGTATTTGTGTCTCTGTTTGTTAAACCCACTCAGATGGCTGCTTCTTACTGGGTTATTGTAGCCGTCGTTCTTTTGATGACTGTTACAAACGGTGCGACTGCTATTGAGACACACCAGCTCGCACCAATTGTTCAAGACATTCTGAACAGGTGAGTGAACTTTCTGTGAAATACAGAAGAAAAACTGAACATGATGATGATGATGATGTTTACAGCAGCTGTTTTTAACAAGCAAACTGTGAGCATCAGAGTAACATGTGGCTAATATGCTATTAAAAGTGTATCACACTGGACTGTAACACAGATCAGCCTCTGTTTAACTCTGTCCAAACTCTCAGGGAAACAAACCAACACTGTTGTGGTTTCATGTAAATCTTTCCAAATGGAATCAACATCAGAACCTGTGTTTGTGTCTTTTGGCAGGTACACACCAAGCTACGGTGCAGATGGCAACAGGTCAGTAACAAAGGTCACTTTAATCTGCAGCACAGTACTTACAGTGTGCTTTATAGTAACGTGGCAGAAACAGAGATCATTAGAGCTACATGTAGAAGCAGAGACTGACAGAACAAATGCAGCATTACATACTCACTGTTATTTGTAACTGGATGTTTAAGTTGTTCTCAATTTCAGGGCTTAAAAAAATCCAAAAAAAGAAATAGACTGGTTTCCTCAGCAAAATGAGACTGAACTCACTTTGTCTGGTTTAACACTCAGCATACTTTAATCTGCACGTTATAAAGAAAATGTTTTACAGGTGAATATTCTGTTTACTTGACAGACAGTTTCCCATGTTCAGTGTGGCTGTGAGCGTCCCACGCAATAAAGACAAGTTTGATATGAACAAAGTCACTGATGATGATGGTGAAGCTGTGAAGACGAAGATTCTAAACTGTGACGTATACATAGGTAACAGAGTGGTGGCAGCCACAGTGCTGAGATGGCCTAATGTTCGATATCAGTGTCCTAAAGAACTTGTACAGTGGTCTGTCCCAAAAAAATGTAATGGAAAGGAGATAAAGACATGGGCTGATATTGCAGCATCTTGTGATGAAGAATATATTAAAAATAATCTGTATCCTCAGGCTGCTCATGCTGAGTTCCGAACCCTGAACTATTTCAAAGAAAACGACAAAATTAGGAAAAACTCCAAAGATGATCTGATGGTTTTCTACGCCCATGACTCCCCATGTGATGAAACATGTACCAACCCAGGCAACGATCGGAATATTCTCAGTAAAATACCAGCGATAACGAACTGGAAGAATTATGTTGTTGTGTTTTCAGATGTATTTAAACCTGATAATAATAATCCTAATCGTGTGAATGAACTGCGTGGATCACTTGAGAGGCTTGGGTATGCAATCGCAGAAAAAGGGACAAAGGAGGAAGATAAAAGGTCAAATGGTCTAAAGCATATATTCCGATGCTACAGGCAGCAAAATATGGATGAAATGAAGTGTCTTATCTGCAATACCAATGGTGCTGTTGCACATAAATGTATTTCAAATGTTTAGCAACCAAGGGGAGAAAGAGAATAAGAATAAGAGGAAGGGTAACATCCAGAGAGGAGTGATGAGACAAAATCATCAGAATTAACCAGAAGAGGGAAAAAGAAAAACAGAAAATGTAACCCGTGCTTTGCATCGTTTTCCTGCATCCATGTCTAACTTTAAATGTGTGTGTTCGTCACAGCGAGATTAACATGTGCTCCTGAAATCACAGCTGCATCGTGCACTCTGGTCATTCTGGTCCACGATACTGTCGGCGCCTCTGATTGTGTGAACTGAAACACAAACAGTGTGTGTGGAGCGAGTGTAATCCATTTATAGCCTCTGATACTGTCTCTGATTAAAGCTTAATAAACTGCATCAAAACATGTCACAGCTTTGTGGTGGATTTTTGTGTGATATGTATAACTATGTAACTATATACACTATATATCTATGTGAACTGAACATATATATTTTAACTTTCATGTAGAGTCTTAAGCGCAAGACATTTTGCTTCACCGAGGTTTATTAGGGTGGCACAGTAACAGGGCAGTTGATGCTGTTGAGAGTTCGCCTGAATAACTCACTCTCCAGCTCCGGTAACCAACCTTCCCTAATACTCACTCAACGTCTTTCATGCAGCACAACCAAAACAGTAACATTGTAACAGAGATCCTGAACACATCACAATAAAATATCATACGATATAATCACACACACACTTTGAACCACACTGAAGTGTTTTTATATATGAGAAAGCATGTAACCTATGTAGTTATAAGATTATATGTTATAAGATTGTGCCACTTGCTGTATAAGATTTAATAATTAGGATTAATGTGTGATGTTTGACCGTGTCATGACCTATTGTGATAAGCCAGAGCAGGGGGTAGCCGGAGTCCTGACTGGCCTCTGGCAAAGACCTTGGCCGCTACCTGACCCCTGCAGCTGTGTTTGGATGGGTGGGAAAGTTACCCAGCAGCAGGGGGCGGGGATACTGGTCCTTATATATTAGGGGAGCAGAGGACACCCCCAGCTCTTTTTTCCCTTCTGCTGTTGCTCTCTGTCCATCTCTGTGTTGCTCTGCTGTCTGTGCTTAAGGCTGTACACCCTGGGGTTTTGCTTTGCTGGCTTTCTGCTTTGTAATTCTCTTGCTAAATGTCTGTATGTATTTTTCCTGCTGTTCATATGACTCAGTGTAAAGATGCTGCAGGTTTCCTATTCATGGGTCACTCCACAGAAACTCTGTCATACAAACTGTCGGCTCCCAGATTTGAAAGCCAACATGGTAACCTCCTCCAGCCAGCAGTGTGGAGATCCAGCTTTTTAGATCCAATTACAATCAAATCACTCAAAAAGATCCTCTGGAAACAGCAGAGTTATTGAAACAGAATAAACAGAATCACATGAACACTGAAACATTACAACACACAGAGCAGCAAGACAACACATAGCAAAGCAAGCTGAGCAAAGCCCGGGTGTAGAGCCTTAAACACAGAGAGAAAAGAGCCATGATGTCACCTCCGTCCCTCCATAACCCCTCCTGCAGCTGATGGGTAACTTTCCGCTTGTCATCCAGCCAAAAACAACAGGTGCAGGTCAGGGGTCGGGCCAGGCGCCATCTTCAGGTGGGCCAGCTTTGCTGTGTCACAGTCGGCCATAACGTGATTAAAGTTACACATCGGTCCTAATTATTAAACCTCGCTACAAGCAGTGCACACCAACAGGTGGCATAAACCGATGATATATGTGTGAATAATACTTAACATGGTGATTCCAATCAAGGGTGTAGATTTGGTTTTGGCATTGGTGGGGACGGATGATTCAACCACTGAACCCTGCCCCGTTTCTTTTTTTCCCCTTTTCATCTTTGCTTCTTGATAAAAAAAAAAAAAAGGAGAAATATACTTGCCTACATATGCTATTCTACCTGCTTTCAAACCATTTAAAATCACAATTCATAGTTTTATATCGTTAGCTTCATAGCATAAGTGCCTAAGTCATTTTTTTGTGATGACATAGGCAGACGGACAGGATGATGCAGCAGTGGTAGGGGAGTAAAGTTAGGCAAAAATCTCAATTTGACCAAAAAATGACTTAGGCACTTATGCTATGAAGCTAACGATATGTGAATTATATAATGTTAAATTACCATTAAACAAATGACTGACTAAGTATTTTAGACTTTAGTTCACTTCAGCCGTATTCCATATAAATCAGGTATCATACAAAAATAAAAACAGCTTCAAATACAGTCATGACAATAAAAGAATATGACTTTAAGGACTTAACAACATTACTTCAGTTATAATACACCATCTGTTATACATTTGCACTAAGGGAAGACTCAATGACCTGGTTGTTTTTGTCCATAAAACTACTCGTCTAAGATGACCACAAAGTAACAGATCTCTCAGCAACATTATGCAACATTTTAGGCACTACTGCCCCGATCAAGTCAGCTGGGATGTTCTCTTCTGCTTGTTTTCTTTTTTTCTTTCTCAACAGGTGATCCAGGTGATCGATATATGCATTTTTTTTCTTCTTCTTTCTCTCTGCTTATTCTGTTGGTTTTTGTTTTGTTTTTGTTTTTTTGTTTTTTTGC